TGTTGAATAAAATTCATAAAGGAGGTAGACAAGCAGTGGGCAGGTTAGCAAAGAAGTCTCTCCAAAAGCAAGCATACAGAGCAGGTGGCTTTTGAGCACCAGAAGAGGAGTTAGTGTCTGCAAGGAAGGGAAATGAAACAGTTTCAACTGTATCAGGTTTGGCATTGCCTTTGGCCAGCCTTAAATTATGAGTAAGCTTTATATGAGCAATGTGTTATACATAGGGCTGCCTCTGAAGACGGTTCGGAAACATCAGCTAGTGCAGAATTCAGCAGCCAGGTTGCTCACTGGAGCAAGACGGTTTGAGCATATTGCACTGATCTTGGTCCAACTGCACTGGCTACCAATTAGTTTCTGGGCCCAATTCAAAGTGCTGATTTTGACCTATAAATCATTAAATGGCTCAGGACCACAATACCTCAAGGAGCACCTCTCTCCATATGAACCTACCCAGATCCTGAGATCATCTTCTGAGGCCCTTCTTCGTGTGCCTCCTCCTTGAGAGGTGCAGAGGGTGGCAACACAAGAACAGACCTTCTCTGCAGAGGCTCCCTGTCTGTGGAATGCTCCCCCCAGGGAAGTTCGCCTGGCACCTTCATTGCACACCTTTAGGTGCCAGCAGGGCCGGATTTAGGTCTGATGAGGTCCTAAGCTGCTGAAGGTAAAGGGGCCCTTTCTATGTCCAGCTGTCCTTTGCCAACAACAAATTGTCACTGTTTTTTGTGTTTAATATATGTTATATGGTAATTTATGGACCTAATAGGTATTTAAAGCCATTTGCACATAACAAAATATGTATTTTATCAAAGTATTGTCAAATACTATTAAGAAGTATATTAATAGTGAAATAATTGTTAAGTTCTAGCTGCATGTAGGTTTTATTTTATTTGCTTTTTATCTTATATTTTGGAAATGTACATCCAGGGGGTTTTTTTCCTTTAAATTTTTTTGGGGCACCCAAGAGAGTGGTGCCCTATAGCTTGTTGAGCTTATACAGAAATCCAGCACTGGGAGCAAGGCAAAACATTCATTTTTAACCAGGCCTTTGGTTGGTCTGTTTGACATCTTATACTATACCCTTTTAAAATGTGGCTCTTTTCTGGGGGAGGGGGGTTATTGGGGGGTGTTGTTTTTATTCTGATTATATATGTTGTGATCTTTTCTGTGAACCACCCTGAGACCTCCGGGTATAGGATGGTATAAAAATGAAATAAATGAAATAAATAAATAAATAAATAAGCTTCTCCATCAGAGCTAAACAGCAGAGACAACTATTACCAGTCAGCGAAAGGAAAAGTCAAAAGCCTCCTGCCACAGTCATTCTAGCAGTAACAAAAAGGAAGACACTGAGAGCTGTGTGAAGTAGCTTAGGACCAATAAAGAGAGACAGCAGGGCTAAGGAGGGAGACTTGGGGACTGGTGATTTTAGAAATACAGTTAAATACAATATCCTAGAGTTGGGCCACATAAGGCAGTAAGATCCCTGGCAGAGCAGCCTCTCCAGCAATTTGAGGATAGAGATGAGGTCCTATAGCTCAACTTAGAATCATAGAATCATAGAGTTGGAATAGACCACAAGGGCCATCGAGTCCAACCCCCGGCCAAGCAGGAAACACCATCAGAGCACTCCTGACATATGGTTGTCAAGCCTCTGCTTAAAGACCTCCAAAGAAGGAGACTCCACCACACTCCTTGGCAGCAAATTCCACTGTCGAACAGCTCTTACTGTCAGGAAGTTCTTCCTAATGTTTAGGTGGAATCTTCTTTCTTGTAGTTTGGATCCATTGCTCCGTGTCCGCTTCTCTGGAGCAGCAGAAAACAACCATTCTCCCTCCTCTATATGACATCCTTTTATATATTTGAACATGGCTATCATATCACCCCTTAACCTCCTCTTCTCCAGGCTAAACATGCCCAGCTCCCTTAGCCGTTCCTCATAAGGCATCGTTTCCAGCCGTTCCTCATAAGGCATCGTTTCACTGGAGTAAGATGCCAGCAATGGATAACCTTCAATGCAGCTTCCCGTCCTGTTGCTAAACTAGCCTCAAACGGTGCCAGCGTTCTTCCTCAAAGGCCTATGGAAGTTGGTGATGGAATGCCACTTCTTAGCAAAGCTGTGGACTTGAAAGCCCTGAAGCCAGTGGTTCTTTGGATCAGTCAGGGAAGTCAACAGCTAGGCAGGAGTTTTTGGCTTCTCATTTACAGACAAGTCACAGAGACATGGGATCCCAGCACCTTCCCACTTCAGAAAATGGCTGTACCACTCAGGCTGGGAGAACCACGGATGATCCACATGAGGGTGTTGGGGGGGCAAGGAAACAAGTGAACCCGGCTTCCCCTCCACACCTGTAGCATAGAAAGCAAAAGGAAATTCCCCAGATGCTGAAGGAATTGGTAAGATGGAAGAATGAAAGGTAGCGCTGGTGTCCTCTAGGATTCCATTGAGAGCCAAGAGACATTTGTACTGTGACTAATAATTTGCAATAATTGGTGAAGCTGACAAGCCTTGCAATATAGTCTGAGATTCAGAACACCCATTCCTCCCTCTTTTGCTGTCTTATAAAATAAGGCTCGGTTAAACCCTTTCCCATTTCTCTCACGGAGAAGACTACTGCCACTACTGTAATAAGGTAAGGGGAAGCATAACTGGAAGGATCTAGAACAGATAGAGCAATCTCAGTAGGAACAACATCTTGATGGCCAAAATGTGCCTTAGCCAAGAGAGCAAAAGAGGACCATAGTTCCACTACATAACATGTGTCAGGTCTTTGGTCTCCAGGACTCCTAAATATTTCTTTTTAATGCCTCCCAGAGGGTGAAGTTGGCCTCTGTTGCTAAGGAAACCTGGTCATGCTAATTGATGTTGAGGCATGTAAGTTGTCGTTTGGTATAATTGACCTCTAAACCTTCAGCTTTTAAAATTTACGTAGTTCCTCTTTCAAAGGTGCAATTCCTCCAACAGGGCCTGATAACTTTCCCTCTTCTTTTTCTTTAGATTATGAGTTGAAGGCAAGGAACTCTTCTTTTTATTTTTGCACAGTGCCTGGTGCAAATTAGGGAATTAGAGGTGGTGATTATGATGGTATATTGATTCCTTTCTTTTGACAGGAAACCACTTTCACTTCAGAAATCCACCACTACAATTTTAATATCTTATCAGTCTTGCAATGGGAGGTGGTGAGAGAACCAACACCTGGCTTTGCAGAGTGAGGGGTGCCACTATAAACTGCTGCACTGCTGGTATATATAGTAAGTTATAATGAGCTGATTAGGAATTACTCAGTTGCCATCTTGAAGTGAAGAAATACATTTTGTTTTCAAACAAGGTTTGCCTAACTTGAATCCAAGCTCCCTTTTTGGGTTGGAGAATGAAGAACAACATGCACCTTGCAGATTGTGAGTCTGCTCAATAGAAGTCACCAGAAATCAACAAGTTATGGAATATGAAAAAGTTATGGTAGCTTTTGCCATCGTAAAATTTTGAGGCAGATGCTTCTTAGAACTTTTGTGTGGTATACAGAGGAACAAAGAGATCTAAGGTAATGAACAAGTTCAGCAGTAACAGGTAGGATGGTCACTGCGAAATAAAGAGCTGAATGTTATTTCTCTTCTGTTGCATTACAGACCTGAGCTTTCAGAATCAAGGTATATTTCATAAGATACTTGGGGGACTGGGAGATGATTCCAGATTAACATTCAAACAACAGAACATTTGCAACAAGAATTAGAAATCAGGGTGTTCCTTCATTTTAGAGTCTACACCCAATAAACTAGCTATTCTGGGACAATGGAGTCTTCTGTCTGCTCATGGGAAAGACAAGCCCTGATCTTCACACCAAAGCAGAAGAAGCTTCTAAAGACTGTTTTTCACTAATGAAGCCCCTTATCACTGATCCTGTTGCAGAGTGAAAGGTGAGCCTGATCGCTTCATTTTCAGTGTATGTTATTTGAACTGCCGTAGTGCCATGACTAAAAAACTTAGTTCACTTGTTACACAGAACAAAGGTAGAAGCTGACTTCACACACAAACAAGTATTTGTGTAAAAGTATTTGTTGATTTGTATAACTCAGCTATTCTGTACACAGGTACACAGGCTGTACACTTGTTGAGAATTACATGCAAATAATTGTACACCTCAACTGTTGTGTACATGGGTACTACACAGACTGCACAGTCATTAAATGTGAGATGTAAACATCCCTTATGAAACTGAGTTATGAATCAGTCCCCAGTTCAAATCTCAACCTTCCTATGAAGTCACTAGGTGCAAACTACTGTCTGTCAACTGCAGTCCTCCACATCTGCAATATGAGAGATAATTATACCGACTTACCTTACGCAGTTGTTGTAATGATTATAAATAGACAGTTGTCAGGATTGTAGATAGATGATGCATGTGGGGTGCTTTGAACACTTGAAAATGTTTTATTTATTTATTTTTGTTGATTAAATTTGTATACTGCCCTTCATCCAAAGATCTCAGGGTGGTTCATAGCATACAAATTCAAGATAAAAACACAAAATAAATAACAAAAACGGTGGGGATGGGACCAAAAGCAACCCTCTTGACTTGCAGTCCCTCCTCAGCCACATCCCCTCATCCCAGGACACCTCCCTCATTGGCCCTGCTTTGCACCCTCCTTGAGTTGTTTTGCCTAGCTGGAATGTGCCCTCAAACTCTAATAATGTGTCTTGCTTGGATAGATGGGTGGATGGATGGATGGATGGATGGATGGATGGATGGATGGATGGATGGAAAGAGGGGTCTGTGAGCATGTGTCTGCCCTGGCCACCACAGGCATGTGGTCCCTGGAAGGTTACGCAAAAGTGAATGTGGTCCTCAGACTGAAAATGATGCCCTGTCCCTGCAGTAGGACATTCATGTAGAATTTCATTTCTAAGTATGATTCACCAAGACCTTTGTAGTAATAAGAACTGACTGATACAATTCCCCCCTCCACTATTTAGCAGATATCAGAATATGGAAGCAGCTGTAGAGGGAAACTGCACCGTGGTGACTGAGTTCATTCTCCTGGGATTCTCAGAAGGTCCGGAACTGCAGCTGCCCTTGTTTATGGTGTTCCTCGTGATCTACATCATCACCCTAATGGGGAATCTGGGGATGATCATGTTAATCAGGGTCAACACCCGGCTTCACACTCCCATGTATTTCTTCCTATGCAACTTGTCCGCTGTTGATATCTGTTACTCATCAGTCATCACGCCAAGGATGCTGATGAACCTTCTAGCACAAAGCAAAATGATTTCCTTCAATGCATGTTTTGCTCAGCTTTACTTTTTTGTGGCCTGGGTGTGCACTGAATGTTTCTTGCTGGCCAACATGGCATATGACCGTTACATGGCCATCTGTAGCCCATTGCTCTATTCCGCAGCTATGTCGCAGAGAGTCTGCATCCTGTTGGTTGCTGGCTCATGTTTCATCGGCTTCACAAATGCCATGGTCACGGTATGTTTTTTAAGCAGGTTGCCATTCTGTGGCTCTAACATCATCAGACACTTCTTCTGCGACACTCCTCCCCTATTAACGCTGTCCTCCGATAGCCATGTCACGGAAATGATCATTTCCTCCCTCGCTGGGTTCACTACCATTGGATCCTTGTTCATCATTGTCTTCTCTTACGTGTTCATTCTGGCAGCCATCCTGAAGATCCGATCAGCTCAAGGCAGACACAAGGCCTTCTCCACCTGCACCTCTCACCTTACAGCCGTCACGGTCTTCTACGGGACTCTGATATTCACATATCTGCGTCCCAATACAAGCTACTCGTTGGGTCGGGACCAAGTGGCTTCCGTGTTCTACACAGTGGTGGTCCCAATGCTGAATCCCCTAATCTACAGCCTCAGGAACAAGGAAGTGAAGGAGGCTTTCAGGCAATCCGTGAGGATGAAAATGTTTCTGCAATGAATGCAAAAACAATTTAGGGCAATTCCTTGAGGAGGCCAACAGAAATGAAACAGAATTCCGTGAAAGCTTCTGAGCATATGTACACATACCCCTCAACCTCTTTATCAGACAAGATGTTAAAAAACACACGCTTGCACACCTTTCTGTTGGCTTAATAAAGGAATTTCCCTAATATGCACTTTGGAATTTTTGTTATGAGCCAGCAACCTTTACTTGGGGGGTTTAAAAGAATTTTGTAATTTAAATAGTAATAATCATGTAACAAAATAATCATAAAACAATAAATGGAACAACTCTAAAATCTTCCCTATGTGGGTTCCAATCTGAATTAACATAGACCTTGTACACTGTTGTAGATGACAAAGGCTAATCTATGCATGGCAAAACATATATGTTACCTCCATTGAGTTGTCTTCACTGAAATAACTAAAACATCCTTAGCCACCCAGTTCTATTCAATTATGGCTCAATTAAAGCAATAGCCCTTTCTTTTTCTACAGGTATTAAATTAGTTCAGCTAAAGCAACTGTGCTATCACCACCAATTAGTGTTGATTTGAATGGTCACTATGTTTACCTTGTGTGTGTTTGCATTTAAATGCCACAAAAACAAATTTCATGGTATTTTGGTTCTTCTGTTTGTACATATGTGTGTACCAGTTAAGGGTAACATTTCATGCATCTGATGGTGCAGTAAAGTCATTACACAAAGGTTTCTGCCACAATCAATCTCATAAGTGCCACGAGATCTTTGGTAGTTTTACCTACAAAGGTGGCTCCTCTGTTGAGAAATGTAATGCAAGCATGCATGCATTCGTTCCATTTAAAGACCTTCCTTCATTGATTTGGATCACATCATAACAATACAGCTGGCATGTCCTACTCCCAAGAGACTGTGATCTACTCCCAGTAAAAAAAAAATGGCAGTGATCTACCCATTGGGGAGGATTGCACAGAGTTTTTAAACTTTTCCCCACAACATTTTGTACACGATAAGGATCTACCAGGATCAGCCGGTAGATTGTGATCTACTGGTTGCACATCCCTGCAAGACAGCATCTGCCTCGGAGCTGGACCTCAGTGTGTGTGCTGAATGATGGGGGTGGAGACGCTCCTTCAGGTATACAGTGGTATCTTGGGTTAAGAACATAATTCATTCTGGAGGTCTGTTCTTAACCTGAAACTGTTCTTAACCTGAACACTTTAGCTAATGGGGCCTCCTGCTGCTGCTGTGCCGCACTGCACAATTTCTGTTCTCATCCTGAAGCAAAGTTCTTAACCCAAGGTACTATTTCTGGGTTAGCAGAATCTGTAACCTGAAGCGTATGTAACCTGAAGCGTATGTAACCCGAGGTACCACTGTACTGGAGTTGTGTTACTGCCCCCCAGGTGACTGTGATGGGAGGAGTGGATCTCTCACAGCTATGTCCACTTGAGTTCTTGACACTTCGCCAGTAGGAACTCAATGGCTGGAGAGCAGAAGCTGCTGTCAGACTGAGAGTCAGTTTTTGAGCCAAGGTCAGCCAATCAGCTTCATGGCTGAATAGGGATTTGAACCACTAAGCTCTCAAACCACTATATCATTGTGTCTCTTTTTATCTTGACTGCTTCCATTTGGGGGCAACCATGACTAAGGCTACAAGTTGTGCATTAGTGTACCAGAGGAGGAGGAAGACCTTGATTCATACAGATTAAGGCATATTCTATATTTCTTGCAAATCCTCCCACCCATTTTACCTGTGGATGGGAAAGATGTGAAAAAATGGGACTGATGCAATCACATCTAGCTTGATCCTGACTTCAGTACATCAGTAGAGCTCATGCAAGGGTGCCTCAAAGGACCATCAAGTCCCAAAGAACCTGAGGCAATGTAGAAATACTCCTGCACTAGCTGATTCTAAGCCCTTTCAAAGCTGCCTTTGCAGTTTCCAACCTGGAAATATTGCAAGGTAATTTGAAACCGAAGCGCTACCTGGAAAACTGGACTCTTAATTGTTAGCTAACAGAGGCTAACAACAGAGGCCCATTTACCCTGCATCCAGTGTGTGTTCCCACCACTGGTTTGGGAAGCAGTATGCACACGACATTAGCGACTACTCATATCTATCCTGTGCCTGCACTTTGATGCATTTTCCCCTAAACCAGCTTTGGTCCAAATTGAGAAAAAGAATGACTTAGCTGCACTTTAAGCTCGTAGTGTGTACATAACCTAAGACTAACCCTGTGCACGCTTCCTTGGGAACAACGCCCTGCCCGAAAACATAGTGAGCGTAGAACCAGGCTGTAAACCAGGGCTCTTTTTTCAGCCGGAACTCTCCGGAACTCAGTTCCAGCACCTCCCAGGTGGGCACCATTGCCATTATAAGAAAACAAGGGAGGTGTTCATGATGAGTTTCGGCACCTCCTTTTCTAGAAAAATAGCACTGCTGTGAACTATTTTATTTGAAGACAGCAGAGCCCACACACTTTGCAGCTTAGTCGGTCGTCTTCAGTTAATTGGTGAAATGTTTTTATTTTTAAAATGATGGAGAACAGAATGGAAAACCATGGCCTGCTTAACTGAAATAGAAAACAGCATTATTATTTTTCATCCTGGCAAGGTTCCCCTGAATAGTACCATTAGGAACTGAAATATCTTAATGTTTTCATTCTTCAGGGAAACAGAAGAGCCAGCCTTTGCGGAGCCATGTGAAGCACAGTAAGTCTGACTCATCTGTACAGTTTCTTGCAGCGTCTTGTAGACAAAAGGCCTGAGGCTCGCACTGTTGTTGAGGCACTCAAAACTAGCAATAACCAGCAGATAGATGCCAGTTAAAATGTGAGGAGAAAATTGTGACAAACTTACTTGAAGGCTGAAGGGAGGGAGGGGGGGAGGTCTTTACCATCCTCCTGAAAGGACCAAGAGATGGATCTGATGAACTTTAGATGGAAGAGAATTTCATAATAGAGGAACCACCGTGAAGATGGCTTTGTTACCTTGCAGGTCAGCCTATCCTATGCATCTTTTGGTGGCTCATTGATATACCTCAGTATACAGAGAGGTACATAAGGGAAGCCCCTCTTAATGTTCCAACCCTGTGAGCTACATGTTTGATAATGACCCATGGGCAGATCTTCTCTGTGGAGGCTCCTGGTTCTGAAATTTGGTGGGTACCCACATTGCTGGCCTTTAGACACCATCCAGGTGAGTTCTTGACTGTTTGTTCTGGCATTGCAGCAAAAATGCTGATGTTTGTGGTATTTCTGTTGTGTGTTCTGGTGGGATTTCTGTAGTATGTGGTTTTAAATTGAGAGTTGTTGTTATGCATTTGTTAAAACAAACATACAAAGTAAAAAAAAAAGTCACTTTGCTATGTGAGTAAATCGCCCTCTTTTAAAATATGTAAAATAGCCAAGCTAGTTTTTTAAACAGACAACTTTGCCTTAGTGTGAGTTTACACAATCATTGTGTGCACTGTTAGTTTTAAGTAAAAGCAATCCTGACCTTCGGCCTTCTCTCTGCTACTCCTTGCCTCTCTGCATCTTCTGCCTGAGATGGCTGGCTCATTCTATTTGATGGTAGGATTAGCCCTGCAGCAGGGGCAGAAAGCAGGGAGGGGAGACAATGCACATCAGGCCACCCACCCGCCTTGTTGCTGTGCTTCCTGGGAGGGAGAGGCAGTGGGGGGGGTGTCTGCACAATGCAGACACAGAAGCAGAAGTGCCACATTGACTCTGCTGTTGTGTTCGCACTGCAGCAACCTCCCCACCATCATACCCCTTCCTCTCTCCCTTCCTGTAAGCACAGCAATGTGGCAGGTGGGAGGACAGGCATGTAGCACTCTCCACCAGGCACCCCTGTCCTGGAGGAAAAAATTGTGGAACACTTGTCTCCTCCCTTCCCCCCCCCTTTTTCCCTTTTTATTTTCTTTCTTTTTTTAATTTTGCATTCAAGATGCACACTTGTCTGATACTTGAGTTAAGAGTTCCTGGGAGGAATGCAATGTAGCACTATGGCAACTTTTGTCAGTGCAAGCACTTTTCAGCTCACCAGATGCAATGCTTCACCTCCCCTCAGAAGCTGCTCTGAGGGTTTTTCTGACACACTGCCCCCCCAGCCATCCCGGGCATACCAGCGGGAAGGAGAGGAGGGAAAGACCCACTGTAGTAGTAGAAGTCCTTGTGCAGACTTCCCATAGTGGGAACAGTTACTTTAGATTAGGTAGATAGATAATAGATGATAGATATAGATGATAGATAGATGATAGATAGATGATAGATGATAGATAGATGATAGATAGATATAGATGATAGATAGATAAATGATACATAGATAGATATTGATTTTATATAGTCAAACGTTTATGATAACCTATCAATAACCAATCATCAGATACAGATCTCTCACCATTATTCTATTGGACAATGCACATGAATGGAGCACTGGATAGAGTTCTAGAAACAAGGTATGATATCTCACAGAGAGTCTCTCCAAAAGCCAACATATGGGGCAGATGGGTTTAAATAATCAGAGGAGGAGTTGATAACAGTAAGGAATGGAAATCGCTGTCAAATAATAATAATAATAATAACAATAATAATAATTTATTATTTCTACCCCGCCCATAAAACACCCAGAGTTTTATACAAAGCTTTATTAGAACCACCCCCCAGAATTATGGAGGCATACCGTGAGTAGAAACGTTGAAAGTGGATTATGTAGGTTGGGTGGGAATTGCACTGGAGGCTTCCTTTCCCCTGCCAAAATGAAGAGTTGTTTGAGTTATAGTTATGTTTCTATGCTTCTTCCACAGAAGATGGAGCATGTGGGTGGGGAAAAAACCCTGTCCTCAGTAGCTGTACTGATGTGAAGAGGCAAAAACTGACCTTCATTGATTAACCAGATTGAATTTCCACCAAGAGGCCAACGAGAAGAAGAAGAGAGAGAGAAAGAGAGAGAGAGAGCCCACATCTACTCATCACAGATTTTAATTGCCCATAAACCGTATTAGTCAAGTCATTGTAAAAATGCCTGAGGGAAACGATAGCACCATAACTGAATTCATTCTCCTGGGACTAACAGACAGGCCAGAACTCCAAGGTGTTTTGTTTGTGGTGTTCCTGATCCTGTACTTGATCACAGTCATAGGGAATTTGGGCATGATCACACTGATTAGGGTTGATGCCCGACTGCACACTCCTATGTACTTCTTCCTCAGCCACCTGGCCTTCCTGGACTTCTCTTACTCCTCAGCCATCACCCCAAAGACACTAATAAACCTTTTGGTTGAGAACAAGGCCATCTCACTGACTGGCTGTGCCGCTCAGATGTATAGCTTCATTGCATTTGGGACTACCGAGTGCTTCCTTCTGGCAGTGATGGCCTACGATCGGTATGTGGCAATCTGTAAACCCTTGCTCTATACAGTCATCATGTCCCGACAGCTCTGCCTGCAGCTCCTTGTCACTTCTTACCTTTGTGGCTTTGGGATTGCAATGATACACACGAGCTGCGCATTCCGACTGTCCTTCTGTCACTCCAACATCATCAAGCACTTCTTCTGTGACGTGATTCCCCTCCTCAACATCTCCTGCACTGACACCAGAGTGAATGAGATCATTCTGTTCGCCTTCTGCATCTTCAACGGGCTCTTCATCACATTGGAGATATGCATTTCCTATATCTACATTGTCTCCGCCATCTTGAAAATCCGCTCCTCCGAAGGGCGGCGCAAAGCCTTCTCCACCTGTGCTTCTCACTTGGCCGTTGTCATAATGTTCTTCGGGACAGCAGTTTTTATGTACATGCGCCCCAGCTCGGACTCCTCGCCAGACGAAGACAGGATTGTGTCAGTGTTTTACACTGTGGTGAATCCCATGCTGAACCCCTTGATCTACAGCCTGAGGAACAAGGAGGTGAAGGATGCCTTGAAAAGGGTGTTAAACAGGAAAAATGTGTTTTTCTCTTTGCAGAAAGATAAAAATGCACTTAAAACAACTGCTTAAAATGACCTGACTCCTTTTGGTACATTCTTCTTCACAGCTGTAGAAAAATGTTCGCAATACAAGTATGGTGGTTCTATAATGTTCTTACTAGAAGAACTTCAGGCCCTTTTGGCTTTATTACCTAGAGCCACTTCCTACAGTTATCAAAGATAACACTGGTCAACAACAAATTTGTTGTCTGCGTTTTTTCAGCTGATTTAGTACGAATCTGATGCGCTGAATCCAAAAATCACATTGGTTTTGCTCAATCAGGTCAAGTTTTTGAGCTATGGCCACATGTCATTTTTTACGTTTTTGTTCACATGTACGCTTGTGTGGAGCATTTTAGAAGAAGTTGGTGGGGGTAAAATGCCATGTCGAATAATTGTTTTGATTGGAAATGATTATTTTAATGGCAAGAAGTATTCAGGTCCGATAGTTCTGGGTGATTATGTCAAAAAGGGATCAGTTTGAAGTCATAAAACCTCGAAATCTTCCATAAATTGGTGCGGCTGGGATCAACAGAAAGAACCGGAGCAGCCTCAAGTATCCTGATCTTCAATCAGCACGTCATCCTGTAGCTCATTGTGATGAAATTCCAGTGCCTATCTTCGGAGAACTTCCTGACATTAGTGACGGAGATGCCTCCCGTATTGAAGGACATGAAGAAGAAGAAGTGGTTCTTGAAGATGATGCTCCACATCCATTTTCCCAAAAGGAGTTGAATAATCTAGTTCACGACCTCAGCTTGTCAAAGGACTCTGCTGAACTGTTGGCATCCAGATTGAAGGAAAAAAACCTCCTTTCTGACAGTGCTCGCATCAGCTTCTTCCGCAACAAGCATCAAGAGTACCTTCCTTTTTTCTCGGAAGAGAAGGACTTGGTGTACTGTGCAGATATTGCACAGCTTCTGCTCAAGCTTGGAGTGCCACAGTATGAACCCAAAGATTGGAGACTGTTCATTGACAGCAGCAAGCGATCACTGAAATGTGTTCTGCTACACAACGGCAACCAGTTTGCCTCTATACCCCTGGCTCACTCGAGTACACTGAAGGAGAACTATGAAGCGGTGAAGTATGTGCTGGAGAAAATTGGTTATGATCAGCATAAGTGGTTTCTTTGTGTTGACCTGAAGATGGTGAACTTTTTGTTGGAACAACAGTCTGGCTTCACCAAGTACCCATGTTTTCTGTGCATGTGGGATAGTAGGGACCGTGCTCAGCATTACACAAAGAAGGACTGGCCTGTGCGGGAGGAATGGGTGCCTTGCAAAGAAAGGAACGTCATCAACGACCCTCTGGTGGACAGAGACAGAATACTCTTCCCACCACTGCACATCAAGCTCAGCTTAACCAAGCAGTTCACCAAGGCTCTGGACAAGGATGGTGACTGCTTCACTTACTTGTGCCAGGCTTTTCCAGGATTGACCACGGAGAAGTTGAAAGCTGGCATCTTTGACGGTCCTCAGATCCATCAGCTCATCAGAGATCCAGAGTTCAGAAACTCAATGAACGAAGTGGAACTGGAAGTGTGGAAGGCATTTGTTCTGGTAGTGAAGAACTTTCTTGGCAACAATAAGGCCAGGAACTACGCAGAACTTGTCAACAACATGCTGACTGCTTTCAGAAACCTGGGCTGCAACATGAGTGTCAAGATGCACTACCTATTTTCACATATGGACTGGTTTCCTGAGAACCTGGGTTCAATGAGTGACGAGCAGGGGGAGAGATTCCATCAGAACATGAAAGAGATGGAGACCAGGTATCAGGGTCGCTGGGACGCAGTCATGATGGCTGACTACTGTTGGACTCTGAAGAGAGACCTTCCTGCCGCTGAGCATTCCAGGAGTTCCAAGAAATGGAAGTTCAAGCTCTGAAGTTTGAAAAATGGTGAAGCAACATGCAATTTACGTGTACTTACCTTTATCAATGCCCACCATTCAGTTTACAGTAAACCTGACCTGATGGAGAGAAACGGATGCCATTTCCTGATTCAGCAGTGCAAAAATACCCTAAATCAGTTGTGGAAATCTAGACAACATTCAAAAAGTAAAAAATTGTTGCCCAGTGTAATTCATGCAAAAGTGAAGCAAATGATGCTTCTGTTGTTAAAATGTGCAGCTGCAGAAATGACAGATGATGGTATGCATGTTTTAATGGCAAGCATATTTCTTGGAATCAGCCTCTTGACTTCATTCAGGACTCTTACTACTCCTGGCTTGTTCTCTCCACCTTTTTTTCCCTTTCTGCTTGTATCATTTTTACCAGACCAAGTAAGAGATGTTCCAAATATTAGCAATGACGTGATCAACAACCTGGTGCTGTGCCAAAAAAAATTACTGTTGTGTAAGTAAATAAATAAATAAATAATCAAAGGGGAAATTACCAAAGGTTTGGTGTAGGGAACTGTGCTTTCCATCCTTTCCTTACTTTCAGTGAAGAACCACAACATTGCCCAATGGTTGAACTGTAAAGAAGAACAGGCTCTCCAGAAACAAATGACAGGGTTACGCTTGTTTGTTTGTTTGTTTGTTTGTTTGTTTGTTTGTGTACCATCCTTCAGCCAAAGGTCACAGGGCAGTTTACAAAATAAAAACACAAAAATACGTATTATAGTGACAGACGAAAAGAATACCCCCACCACACACACACACACACACACACACACACACACACAAAGTTTAAAAGGCCATCAACTCCAAACTGGCAGAGAGACAATTTTCAAGCGCCCACATTATTAGGGATCTGGGGAGTTGCTACATGTAAGCATCCTCTCTACAACAGCTGCATGGAGCCACAAAGGACCCATTCCAATCTGGTACCCAAGCCTGAATATACCAAGCCACAGCACTGTACCAGTTGACTCTTGATATACAGAAGCTAATAAATGCTTCATTCAAGAACCTGTTCTTTTAGGACCTTGCAGTTAACCATTGTTGTGATGCTATTAATTAGTTTCACTGAATTTAAAGCAGCACTCCCCTTGAGCTTCCATGTGATCTACTCCCAGTAAAAAAAAAATGGCAGTGATCTACCCATTGGGGAGGATTGCACAGAGTTTTTTAACTTTTCCCCATAACTTTTTGTACATGATAAGGATCCCACAATCTACCAGGATCAGCCAGGGATCTACCGGTAGATTGCAATCTACTGGTTGCACATCCCTGCAAGACAGCATCTGCCTCGGAGCTGGACCTCAGTGTCCGGGCTGAACGATGGGGGTGGAGACGCTCCTTCAGGTATACAGAGGTATAACCTGAAACTGTTCTTAACCTGAACACTTTAGCTAATGGGGCCTCCTGCTGCCGCTGTGCCGCCACTGCACAATTTATGTTCTCATCCTGAAGCAAAGTTCTTAACCCGAGGTAATATTTCTGGGTTAGCGGAGTCTGTAACCTGAAGCGTATGTAACCTGAAGCGTATATAACCTGAGGTACCACTGTACTGGGGTTGTGTCACTGCCCCCCAGGTGAATGTGATGGGAGGAGTGGATCTCTCACAGCTATGTCCACTTGAGTTATTGATACTTCACCAATAGGAACTCAATGGCTGGAGAGCAGAAGCTGCTGTCAGACTGAGAGTCAGTTTTGAGCCAAGGTCAGCCAATCAGCTTCATGGTTGAATAGGGATTTGAACCACTCTTTTTATCTAGACTGCTTCCATTTGGGGGCAACCATGACTAAGGCTACAAGTTGTACATTAGTGTACCAGAGCTATGCCTCACTGGAGGAGGAAGACCTTGATTCATACAGATTAAGGCATATTCTATATTTCTTGCAAATCCTCCCACCCATTTTACCTGTGGATGGGAAAGATGGGGGGGAAATGGGACTGATGCAATCACATCTAGCTTGATCCTGACTTCAGTACATCAGTAGAGCTCACATGAGGGTGTCTCAAAGGACCATCAAATCCCAAAGAACCTGAGGCAATGTAGAAATACTCCTGCACTAGCTGATTCTAAGCCCTTTCAAAGCTGCCTTTGCAGTTTCCAACCTGGAAATATTGCAAGGTAATTTGAAACCAAAGTGCTTCCAGGAAAACTGGACTCTTAATTTGTTAGCCAACAGAGGCTGTGTACCCATTTACTCTGCATCCAGTGTGTGTTCCCACCACTGGTTTGGGAAGCACTATGCACACGACATTAGCGACTACTCATATCTATCCTGTGCCTGCACTTTGATGCATTTTCCCCTAAACCAGCTTTGGTCCAAATTGAGAAAAAGAATGACTTAGCTGCACTTTAAGCTCGTAGTGTGTACATAATCTAAGACTAACCCTGTGCACGCTTCCTTGGGAACAACGCCCTGCCCGAAAACATAGTGAGCGTAGAACCAGGCTGTAAACCAGGGCTCTTTTTTTCAGCCAGAACTCTCCGGAACTCAGTTCCAGCACCTCCCAGGTGGGCACCATTGCCATTATAAGAAAACAAGGGAGGTGTTCATGATGAGTTCCGGCACCTCCTTTTCTAGAAAAATAGCACTGCTTGAACTAATTTATTAAAAGACAGCAGAGCCCACACACTTTGCAGCTTAGTCGGTCATCTTCAGTTAATTGGTGAAATGTTTTTTCTTTTAAAAATGATGGAGAAAAGAATAGAAAACCGTGGCCTGCTTAACTGAAATAGAAAACAGCATTATTATTTTTCATCCTGGCAAGGTTCCCCTGAATAGTACCATTAGGAACTGAAATATCTTAATGTTTTCATTCTTCAGGGAAACAGAAGAGCCAGCCTTTGCGGAGCCATGTGAAGCACAGTAAGTCTGACTCATCTGTACAGTTTCTTGCAGCGTCTTGTAGACAAAAGGCCTGAGGCTCGCACTGTTGTTGAGGCACTCAAAACTAGCAATAACCAGCAGATAGATGCCAGTTAAAATGTGAGGAGAAAATTGTGACAAACTTACTTGAAGGCTGAAGGGGGGGGGGAGGTCTTTACCATCCTCCTGAAAGGACCAAGAGATGGATCTGATGAACTTTAGATGGAAGAGAATTTCATAATAGAGGAACCACCGTGAAGATGGCTTTGTTACCTTGCAGGTCAGCCTATCCTATGCATCTTTTGGTGGCTCATTGATATACCTCAGTATACAGAGAGGTACATAAGGGAAGCCCCTCTTAATGTTCCACCCCTGTGAGCTACATGTTTGATAATGACCTTCTCTGTGGAGGCTCCTGGTTCTGAAATTTGGTGGGTACCCACATTGCTGGCCTTTAGACTCCATCCAGGTGAGTTCTTGACTGTTTGTTCTGGCATTGCAGCAAAAATGCTGATGTTTGTGGTATTTCTGTTGTGTGTTCTGGTGGGATTTCTGTAGTATGTGGTTTTAAATTGAGAGTTGTTGTTATGCATTTGTTAAAACAAACATAGAAAGTAAAAAAAAAAAAGTCACTCTGCTATGTGAGTAAATCGCCCTCTTTTAAAATATGTAAAATAGCCAAGCTAGTTTTTTAAACTGACAACTTTGCCTTAGTGTGAGTTTACACAATCATTGTGTGCACTGTTAGTTTTAAATAAAAGCAATCCTGACCTTCGGCCTTCTCTCTGCTACTCCTTGCCTCTCTGCATCTTCTGCCTGTGATGGCTGGCTCATTCTATTTGATGGTAGGATTAGCCCTGCAGCAGGGGCAGAAAGCAGGGAGGGGAGACAATGCACATCAGGCCACCCACCCGCCTTGTTGCTGTGCTTCCTGGGAGGGAGAGGCAGTGGGGGGTGTCTGCACAATGCAGACACAGAAACAGAAGTGCCACATTGACTCTGCTGTTGTGTTTGCACTGCAGCAACCTCCCCACCATCATACCCCTTCCTCTCTCCCTTCCAGTAAGCACAGAAATGTGGCAGGTGGGAGGACAGGCATGTAGCACTCTCCACCAGGCACCCCCTGTCCTGGAGAAAGCAGCACTCCCCTTGAGCTTCCATGAACCATAGCTTTTAAAAATATATACTATATAAATCTCCTAGGTGACTGTATATTGGAGTAGCCAGGGACACAATGGAGAGTGATTCTGCACCTTGAATTGTAGAGGAGCACAATGAAATGTTATCATCATTGCAGCCAGACGATGGTAGCAATGTGTAAAAGGGAAGATCTTGTGCTACTTTTTATGATGAAGGACTGCCACTGTTCTCTGAAGCTTTGGAGACAAGGAAAAAACTTTCATTCAACAGTAAGAAAACTGTGCATTGCATCATGATAAATATTGTTGATTTGTCTTGCAAATTTATTGGCTGATATTTAAAAAACAAGGTCCTGTATTGGTCAACCACCAACCCAGAACCCGGAATATAATAAAATACTATTAAACTTTGGTCCTCAAGGAGAGGCTAGCTTTATTGACTTCTTATCTGGCAACTATTTCCAGCAACAGTAACAAAGATAGCAGCAGTTTATGTCTAGGATGTAAAAATAAACACAGAGAAGTGGAAGTGCTGTTTCATAGAATGGTAAATAATATTTCATATATTTTGAAATGACGATATTAAGAGGAAATATGTGAGGATTGAAGCAAATAAAAAACAAGATCAGGGAATATCACACCTAAGAATCTAGGTGCACAAGCAGGCAAGATTTACAAATAAATAATGATTAACAAAGGTGCAGTATTTTGTAAGCTGTTTTGTGGGCCAGTGTCGTCTGTGGCCCTAACTGCATACCTGAGCTAGACAACAAAAAGGTAATCTGCTCTAGTCAGGCTTCATTTTTCAGATGGAGGAAAGAGCCTGAACCAGTTAAGGTCTTATAAATGCTGCTATATCTTTTTTTAAATCATGTACTATCTTATTCCATGGACTAAATTAGCAAGCTTTTAAAAAGCCGCTACTTAGTCTGACTTTTTCACTCACCAACACCCCAAAACAAAGCCTTGAACTGTAAGCATTTCTTATAATTACATTAAAAGTCAGGTGTGGGTAATTAATTCAATATTTGCTTTTTTAAATTGTATTTATTGATAACTGTCACATTTGAAGATGATAGGATTCCTTGGTGAAGAACCTTTTGTGATGTTTGTGTCTTGTTATTGGACATGTCTTTGTGAACCACTTTGAGGGTTTTTAAAAAAAATAACTCAGACGTAAGTAGCGTTTACATCCAAATCAGTATAATTCTGTGCACACTTACTTGGGAGTAAGTCCCTTTGAACTCTGAATAGACATGTTACAGTTTTAAACTGAGAGAATGACTGTTATACAATAGGAATCTTTGATACTGTTTTGGTACTGCTTTATGTGGGTGCAATTATATTTATATATTTTCAGTGAAAGAGTCTGGAACTGTTAGTGCTAGAGAAATGGATATGTCAACTGAGATTTTAAAGAGGTCACAGCAATCAAGGACAGTTTAATTCTTAGCACTTTCTTTCTCAAAAGAATGTTGGAGGGAACGCATATTGACAAAGAAAAACACTTACATATTTGTTATACGTTATTTTAATCCAGTTTTCAACTTGCATTCACATATTATTAATTGATAGTTAGAATTATTAGCATTGCTCAAGATTATCATTGATTAGGTTCCATGTTGTTATTTTTCTCAAATGTTTTATTCATAGATGGAGACATTGATATCAAAATCCACTGGTATGAAGACACATTCCACTGCAGAAATACCAAAAGGTCCTTAGTGTGGAGACTCACATCATCAAATAACAAAATGGCAAGAGAAAATCATACTGTAGTGGCAGAATTTTTCCTCTCAGGCCTCACAGAAAATCCTGAGGTAGCCATTATTTGTTTTCCCTTCTTTCTAGCAATATACATGATCACTTGTGTGGGGAATCTTGGGATGATTGTCTTGATTAGGATTGATTCCCGACTCCACACCCCTATGTACTATTTTCTCAGTAACCTAGCTTTTGTGGATTTCTGCTATTCCTCAACTATAACTCCCAAGACCCTGGTGAATTTTTTAGCTGTCAGGAAAGCCATTTCATTTGGTGGCTGCGTTGCACAATTGTTCACCTTTGTCCTGACTGCAAGCGTTGAGTGCCTTCTACTGGCTGTAATGGCCTATGACCGATATGTGGCCATTTGTAACCCACTCCTCTATACAGCCATAATGACAAAGAAACTCTGTGCTCAGCTGGTAGGCATTACCTATCTTATCGCCTTTATCCATGCTCTTGCACAAACTATCTCCACGTTCAGGCTCTCCTTCTGTGCCTCCAATGTCATCAATCATTATTTCTGTGACATTCCCCCTCTCATAAAGCTCTCCTGCAGTGATACCTACAGTAATGAGATTGTGCTTTACACCTTTGGCACTTTCCATGGCATCTTCACCTCAGCAGAGATTGTGGTCTCCTATGTGTACATCATCTCCACGATCTTGCATATTCGCTCTTCAGAAGGCAGACGCAAAGCCTTCTCTACCTGTGCCTCTCACCTCACAGCTGTCTTGATATTTTATGGAACCACAGTGTTCATGTATGTCCGACCAATTTCAAGCTACTCTCTGGGCCGAGACAAAGTGATCTCTGTGTTCTACACAGTGGTGATCCCCATGCTGAATCCCCTGATCTACAGCCTGAGGAATAAGGAGGTGAAGGATGCGCTGATGAGATTCTCAAGAAGGCTGAAGTTTTCTCAGTAAGCAAATGTTGTACATGAACAGAAACCCTGGTTAGAATAGATTGTTTCATGCATCGCTGGTACTCCTAACTGTGCAAAATTGAAATAAATAAAAAAATGTTTTTAACATTGGTATACTGTCCAATAACTAACATTCTCTGGGTGGCAAATATTACAGTTTGAAAAAAATGTAAGATGAGAATCAATGGGGAAAGCAATGAATCCATATTTATAAATAAAAAAATAGAAGAGATAAAATAACCAGCTGAAAACTATATAAAACAGCATTTAAAAGCACTAAAAGATTGTAAGAATTCAAAATACCTGGGAAAATAAAAAGGTATCAGCTAGTGCTGAAAGAGCAGGTGAGCCTCTCTGGAGAGTATATCCTGTAATCGGGGTACATTGCCAAAAAGACCCTCCATTCAGTAACCACGTACTACAGCTCATTTAGTGGGGGGCAACCAGAAAAGGGTCTCTGAAGATGACTTTAGGTCCAGATAGGCATATATGGATGGTGGTAATAATCAAGTAAGCTGGCCCCAAACCATTTAGGGCTTTATAGATTAAAATCAGTAGACCTATTGAAATGAATGGGCATGACTAAGTTAGGCTAATTGCAGTGGGGCGGCTCTGAGTAAAAAATAGTTGAATATCAAATGCTGATTTTATCAAATGCTGCATTGTGTAAGAAGGCATTAGCAATGGTGACCCACTTCGTTGTGGGCCCTTGTGCAAAATACAGTTTGAGCACCCAGTTTAGCTGGATTATACAGAGCAAAGGAAGCAGCAGCATAGGCAGATAGTTCATTTATGAAGCAGAAAAGCCATTAAAAAATATAAAAAACTCACAAAACAGCTGTCAAGAAGACCAGGTCTCCAAAACCTGGGATTCAGCCCCTTGCCAGTTTAGCAGGTGCCAACTGGACAGAGATGAAAAAAGGCAACCACTCCTGTAGTTCAACCAGGCTAAGCCAGGAGACTCCCAGACTTTACCAAACAACCACAAGACTCAAAAGAAAGCAAGAGCTAAGAACCATACTCTCTGCCTTGAGAGCCTTGAGGCTACAAGGTCACTCAGTAGCAACTGGATCCACCACCATGGCTTTTCCCAAGAAACCACACCAGGATTGTAGAAGTAGATTTATTGAAATAATTAAACGTGACAGCAAAAAAGACAGAACCTGTGTGCCAGTGAGAAATATATTGTTAAAAAAATACTGTTTAGAGCCGCGGTTCCCAACGTGGGGCACACACTCCACAGGGGGGCAATTTGATTTGGGGGGGGCAATATAGAAGCTTGTTTAGACCAAGTTAATGGCCTTTTGGGCTTCCTCCACATGAACATGAGTTCACTTTTTGAATAATAAGAATTATATATCACAGGGGAGGGCATCAGAATTTTACAGATGCTTAGGTGGGGCATGGCCAAAAAAAGGTTGGGAACCACTGGTTTAAAGCATAAAGTACAATTGGGAATTATAATACAGTAATAAAACAATAAAGCTAACTTAACAAAACACAAAGGTGTCAGTAAAGGTATGAGGCACAAGACAAAGAAATATGGGTAACTTTATATTACATGGCCTAGCAATGCAAGAAGAGTTTATCCATACTTCCCCTGTCACATCCTAGAAAGCATGGGACTAAGCGATTTGCTGCTTGTCCATTGGTCCAAGCAGCTTTCCTTTTGCCCCACTGCTTTTCCCTGGAAGACCCACTCTTTAGGGATAAATCAGAACAAATGACAATCTGTGCAAAACCCAATTTCCATTTGTTCCAATTCAGCTCTAAAGATTGGGTTTCCCTGAAGGAAAGCAGCGGGGCAAACGGAGGCATGGATGAGCTTGCAGGCTGGAAGTTTCCAGAACTTCCAGAGTGAACGTGTTGTCACAGGGCTCATCCCCACTTCCACTTGCCCCACCATTTTCCCATGGGGACACCCACGGTTTATCGTTGAAATGGGACAAAGGGCAATCAAGTTTTCCCCAGATAGTCATTTGTTCCAAATTAGTGCTAAAGAGTGGATTTTGCAGAGGACAAGCCGAAGTGTGGACAAGCCCTCACTTAATACATAGCATGAGGTAGCATATCTTCATTTTCCTTAAATAATGCCACTGTTCTTACCGGGGAGACAGCATGTGAGGAAGTGGGGATTATCTCTTCAAGGGATTTTTTTTTTCCAAAGTTTCTGACTGCACAGGGTGGAGGGGTAAGGTAATCTCCATTTCGACTGAGGTGGGGGAATGAAAAGATAACCCTTTCCTCCCCACACACTGACTTACCTGCCAGAACTGGGCTCCCCTGCACCTGTGATTCACACGTCCCTAACATGGTGGAGCTAGCATATTTACAAGAGGAAAATATACCCGAAGAATTTGCACAGCCAAGACCATCAACCTTATTAAATGTGCATGTGAGCTTCTGTAGACCAAAGGGGTATTATCTGCATTGTTTAGCTAAAGGGGACACACAGAGAGTTCCCTCCGATCCTCTGTTACTCCAAGTAAGCAGGAAAGGAATTGAATGAGCAATTCAAGAAAATGCTCAGAGTTACTGTGTGTTGTGCTCGCAGTCGTTAGTAATCATTAATATAACTGACAAAGACCTTTTTCTCCCTTCTTGAGCCTTCATACAAATTAGTGAGGATTGGGTGCCAGTGAGGTTGGAAAATATATCATTTCACCTAACTTCAACCCTGCCAGTTGTGACTGATTTAAGGTGCAATCCAATGTATGTCGATTCAGAATTAAGTCCCACTGACTTACAACACCCAGGTAAGGATATAGAGGGATCAACTTAGATGCCGAGAATGAACTTGATGGAGAACAAAAGACTATCATGAGGAAATTAGGGTTCTCCTTTTGCCCTTTAGCCCAACCACCTTCACCAGGGCCCCCTTTACCTCTTGGTTCCTCAAACTGTAGATCATGGGGTTCAGCATGGGAGTAACAATGCAATAGAACAATGAGGCAGTCTTCCCCTGCTTAGGTGAATAGTGGGACCTAGGTCGCAAGTAGGCAAAGATGGCTGTCCCATAGCACAGGGTCACCACCACTAGGTGGGCTGTACAAGTGGAAAAAGCTTTGCGCCTTCCCTCTGCTGTACGGATCTGGAAGATGGTTGTGACGATGTACACGTAGGACACCAGCACAAGGAAGAAGGGTGTGAGCAGAATGAGGACACCAGCTCCCAGCATCACAGCATCTCCCACAAAGGTGCTAGAGCAGGCCAGCTGCTGGACGGCTAAGACTTCACAGCCAAAATGGTTGATGGTCTTCCTTCCGCAGAATGGCAAGTGCAGAGTGAACACCGTCTGCAACAGGGCATTCACGAAGCCGCAGAGCCAACACCCGACTGCCATCTGCATGCAGAGCCGTTGGTTCATAAGAACATTATAATACAAGGGATGGCAGATTGCCATGTACCGGTCGTACGCCATGACAGCTAGCAGGATGAATTCGATTCCTCCCAGAGACAGGGAGATGTACATCTGTGCCATGCAGCCCACAAAGGAGATGGTTTTGCGCTGGGCCAGGAAGTTGGACAACATTTGAGGAATGATTGTGGTGGTGTAGCACATGTCCAAGAAGGAGAGGTGGCTCAGAAAATAATACATAGGTGTGTGCAAGTGTGGGTCCCCTCTTATCGCCAGCATGATGAGAATATTCCCTGTCAAGGTCACAAGATACATCCCCAGAAAAAGAGCAAAGAGGACTTTCTGAGTTACCGGATTACTGGTCAAGCCCAAAAGGACAAACTCCATGTTCCATGATAGATTACCACTTCTCATATTGTATCCAGATTCACCTATGATCGATGTCATAGCAACAACAAAAAAAGATGACAGTGATTTAGTTTTCCTAATAATTAATATAACAATTGCATGCCTGAAGAAGGATAGAAGTCTATCTCTTTTAGCTTTCTGTGACCAACAATGGCCAACTTCCCAAGCAAAGCATGATAGGAATTGCTTTCCCCTACAAACGATCCCCCAGTAACTCATAATGACACATGCATTGATTCTGAATAGGGACTCAGCATGGTGCATGCAGAAGCAGAGCTTTGCATGAGAAAAAGTAGGGAGAGAAATAACAACACTTTACCTAATTACTTTCTCCAAATAAGATTTTTATATAGATATAGATATCCTGAATTTGATATACATAAGATACCTATGGAACAGCAATTTCTTAATTTTCTTCCCTTTTAATTCAATGCAAAATCGTAAAGGATCACATTGTCTCTGAAATCAACAGAATTCTTGGAACTTAAGCCAGGATTGATGAAATGCTCACCTCATCTTCATTCATTCAAAAAAAAAACCAACATCCTCTCAGAAAAGAAAAAACTACAACATCCCAAGGCAATTTGTGGCATTCTTTGGAATTAAAATTGTAATATAATAAAACACAACATAAGAAATAAAATAAGCAATTAAAAAATCAATTAAAAGCCGAGGACTTCCGGGTTGGCGCCATCGCCGAATGGCGGACTCCCTCCGAGCTCCGGAGGGAGTCTGCTCGGCAGGGGTCGGGTCCTGCCGCACCGGCGACGCGGGGACCCTCAAAAACCATGGGCGCGGAAACCCATGGACCTGGTGACTCGGCGGGCACCGTTTGCGCCCCCCGACCCACGAAGGAGCCTTTTTAAAGGCTACGGAGCGGGGGACGGGGGGTGGCGCGGTGCTGTGAGTCTTCTGCTTCCCCTGCCGAGCGCAGCCGCATGCATTCGACGGAGAGCGCTGACTTCTTCTTCTGAAAATTTGGACTTAAAATAACAACCCGTGAGTAATTTGGAAATCAGACTTAAAAGGGGGGGAAATTTCTTGGATTCGGTACGAGCGGGGGAGGTGCAAAAAGGAAGTCCGTCTCCCCCTATTGTAAACAATTTAAAGCAAGGATTTGACAACTAAGGTCGAGAGAAGAGCCTTTTTTTTATTGATAAAAGTTATTAATTTCACGATGGGAAATCACAAGTAACTGTGCTGGAGGAGAAGAGTGGATTGTGAGAGTTAAAGTGCAACCCCCCAGGAACCGGGAGTGATCCGTGAGAGAGCCTGGTGAAGAGATACAGAGATTTTGACAGCCGTCAAAGTAGCTGTCAAAGTTGGAGAATAAAAAGAGAACTTTGTTACGATGACTTTGCTGGTTAGATTTGTTACAATTTGGATATAAATTGTTGAAAACAAGGAATAACAAGTTAGCTTGACTTTTGGGTTTGATCTGGAAGGAAACTAAGTAACCATAATCCCTCTAGAGGGGGTTTTGGGACATTACAAGAATGGCTGTAAGTGGAAAAATACTCATGGAATTGAACAGGACTTTTTATCTCCTGGGAAAGCTGCAAAAACGAAACATTATTTCGTCTACAGAGGTTTCTACACTAAAGGAGACAATAGACATATCTATTGAAGAATGGAAGAGACTTGACGCAAGTTTTTGTTCCTGAACAAATAAAGCCTCTGTAGAGGAACTAGAAGCTTTTGAATTAGAATGTTTTTGCAGCGGAACAGGAAAAGAAACCTGAGAAAAGTGAGGAAAGAGAACAAGGGATTTATGATGATCTGGAAGGGAATGAAGGAGGAGCCATATCATCGTAGAAGACCAAGGAAGGCCAAAGGCCTGTCAGGGAGGATACAAAGGAAAACAAGAATTGGACTAAGCTGGAAGTTTGGAGCATTTGGGACATTCAGACTTAAAAGGACTAAGAAACAAAATTTGAGTTTTACTCTTAAATATAGAGGCCTGGATGGAAGAAAAATGGACTTTCTTGAGATAGAGCTTCTCCAAGATTGGGTGTTTGAAACTAAAGATTACCAAAAAAACCGGCAAAGTGGAGCTGAGAGAGATTTGGCCATGGATGTGAGGTCCCCAGGCTGATAGCAGATAGACTGATGGGCATTGGGGATCGAAACCGGGAAAGGGGGGAGGGAGTTCTGGAATCCAAAGGGTGTACAATTATATTCTGAATTTTTTTATTTCTTTATTTCGTTTTGTTGTGTGTACTAAAAAGGGGAAATTGTGGAAGGGAATTGGGGTCGACCTTGGGGGGGGGATTTAATGTTGAAAGACTGTGGAATATAAAGGGAAAGTGGTTATATGAGATGAACTAAATTGAACAATGGGCTAAATATAATAAGTTTAAAATTTGGGGTAAGAACTTGTGGAACTAATTTAATGGAAATGGAATACAAGAAGGGGAGGGGTGGGGAAGTCCTGGAAAGATGTTAATGAAATTAAGGCTTTAAATGTAAATGCTTTTTTCTTTCTTTTTCTTTTCTTTTTCATGTTTTGGATCTTTTGGAAATTTTAATAAATATGATTTTTTTATAATAAAAAAAACAATTAAAGGCCACACAGCATCTAGCACAGTGCATTCCTGTTGCTACAACAAGCAGAAAAATCAGTGGTATCTGGGGATGAAAAGTTTGGGAACCACCGATTTAACCCATGTTATACTATCAAAATACATTTAAAAAAATAATTCCCATAGCCAGATTTGTCTATTATATTTACCTTCCTTTTGCATTCTAATGTTACCCAAAATGTTTCAATAATCATTTAAATAAAGCAATAAATTTATTGATGCCCAGCCCTGTCAGCTTTGTCTGATTCACAAGTCAAAATGAGCAGCAATGGCCAGAAGGTAGATTTGGGTCTACTTGTAGAACTCTGGGTTATTTCCAATAGATCAGCAAGGGTTTCTGTCATTATGCCTCCCAATTGTTTAACAACAGCAAACAGCCAAAGAATATTTTGTAGCTAAATTAGGCTGCTGAAATGAAGAAAGCTAATGGGACTAGACTTCTGTCATTAGCGCCAGCACTGTGTGCCATCTTTCCAGAGTCAAACAGTGTTCAGGCAGCTTACAACATGTAAATATTTACATAATTACAAGAATATATCAAAATATAAGTGGTCATAAGCAATACATGAAAACATCACCACATCATTTGTAATAAGGTCAAACAAACAAAAATTACCCATAACAGCAAAAATTAAGCACCTCCAAAATTAAATATCGAACCCCCCCCCAAAAAAAATCCTAAACAATACTTCCATCCCATTAGTCTTTAGCCATCCTATAGGAGTCAAAAGTAAGGTGATTTTATGAAAGAACTGTGCAGCCAGTTCTCTTCTGGTACTGAAGACCAAGGGGCAAAGTGGACTCAGAGTCAGCCTACTCTCTAATTCTAACAGAACATTATTGCACATGACTCTAGTTGGTAAATCTTGGGGTAAATCTACTAAAAAAGTAAAGTAGATCCAAGAACCCTGAAATTAGCTCATCTCTGATGCAAACAAGACAGTATATGAGCTAGCCCATCCATCCATCCATAGATGGATGGATGAAATCTGCCAGTGATTGCCACAGTAAGTGTGGATTTATTCAAGTCACCATCCATGCTTATAGCAAGTGCTGTGAATTAGATGAGCGAGTATGAATCTGGATTTGGGGTCCCTTCACTGGCAATGTGTCCTTAAAATATTTTTTAAAAACCACCATGCAGGGTTCTATCCAACAGAATATACTTGGTTGGAGTAGACCCACCCAAATTAATAGGTGTAAGTTAGTCATATATACATATATATATAAGGTAAAGGACCCCTGGAGGGTTAAATCCAGTCAAAGGTGACTATGGGGTTGCGGCGCGCATCTCACTTTCAGGCCGAGGGAGCCGGTGTTGGTCCACAGACAGCTTTCCGGGTCATGTGGACAGCATGACTAAACTGCTTCTGGCGCAACAGAACACCGTGACGGAAACCAGAGTGCATGGAAACGCCATTTACCTTCCCGTCACAGTGGTACCTATTTATCTACTTGCACTGTCATACTTTTGAACTGCTAGGTTGGCAGGAGCTGGGACAGAGCAACGGGAGCTCACCACCATCACATGGATTCGAAATGCTGACTTTTCAATCGGCAAGACCAAGAGGCTCAGTGGTTTAGACCACAGCGCCACCCGCGTCCCTAAGCTAGCCATATACAGTCATACCTCATGTTACGTTTGCTTCAGATTGAGCGTTTTCAGGTTGTGTCCCGCAGCGACCCGGAAGTACCAGAACAGATTACTTCCATGTTTCGCCACTCGCGCATGCGCAGATGCGCAGAATGACGCCACGTGCATGCGTAGAAGCGGCGAATCGCAATGTGGAAATGCGCAGATGCAGACGCGGGTTGCGTTCTTTTCAGGTTGCGAATGGGCCTCCGGAACAGATCCCGTTCACAACCAGAGGTACCTTCATTCATTCATCGCAACCGCTGTACATTCATTCCAACGGGCCTACTCTTTGATGTACATTCTGCAAGCTTCTATCTTTCTGGTCAGAAATGCAAAAAGCATCTGGGAGTGAGCGCTTCATACCTGCACTTCTGGCTTTCTGGCCTCTAGAATTTCCAGAAAGTGTTCTCAGTTTTTCACCCCTTATGAAATCTGTAGGGCCTTTGAGATTGGTTCCCACAAGTCCAATTACAGTATTTTCCCTCTGCACAGCACAGCATATTTCACTTTGACTTTGGTTAGGCTTCTGTGCCAAACATAATAAATTGATTAATGCCTTTTTCATAGTCCTATGCAATGCGCCTAGCTCAGTTGCTAGAGCATGAGACTCTTAATCTCAAGGTCATGGGTTCGAACCCAGCATTGGACAAAGGATTCCTGCATTGCAGCGGGGTGGACTAGATGACTCTTTTTTTCTAATAAAAATTTATTAGATTTTCCACAATTATAACAAAAACCACAAAGCAGAATAACACACAAAAACAGAAAAAAAGAAAAAAGAAAAATAC